TTTGAAAAAGTGGCATTTTTGTAAAGATTTCAAAAGTGTGGTATTTTTGTAAAGTCTCACTTGAAAAGTGGTATTTTTTTGAAATTTCTCTAGCATTTTTCTTTTTAAATATAGGTCGATAGTTCAAACAAATCAACCATGTCAATAAATCAACATAAAATGGTATAAGTCGACCAAAGGTAAACGCGATGGGACGAACATACAAAACTAAATCAACAGTTATTAATATGTAAAAAAATCAAACAAGTGAGATTTCTACATATGTTCATACGAAATATAAATCGACAATTAAAAAGTCAATCAATCAACAGATAATGATATAAGTCTAACAACAAAATAACATATTTACTTCAAGCAACGTAAACTATTTGTTTGATTGGAGTTGTTGCATATATACAGATGAAATCAGTTTACCCTGCACAATTACATGTCCCACATTAATTAGCTGAGTCGGTGAAAAAACACAAAAACATTTTGGCTTAATTTAGAAAGATTCGACATGGAGAAAAAGTTTAGATGGATGGAGGTAAGTTAAAAAGATTAATGTAATTTTTTTATATAAACACTTTCATTGAAGATATTAAAAGAAGTAATTGGTTGACAAAAAAAAAAAAAAAGGAAACTTAATTGACGTCAAACAGAAAGGAGAAATATATATCGTCGAGGGAAAAAAGAGCAAGGGAAAATGTGTTGGTGGATGTGTGTCGGGATATGCATGTGTACAGATTTCGAGACCTTTTTGGTACGTACCAGTACGGACAATATGCTATCTAAGAACATTTTCAATGTATTTTCCTATAATTATCTTTAAAATATAATAAATAGTATTTTTCTATTTTCTTTCCAATGTATGACTCTATTTTAGAGCAATGCTATTTTTTTGTCTTTTAGGATATGACAAAAAAAATCTCTAATTCCATCTCCAAATATAGAAAAAAAAAATAGCAATTTCTATTATAGAGATGAAAATAGAGATGGGTTGGAATAAATTTGATTCTAAACTTTATTTTAGAGATAAATATAGAGATGGGTTTGAGATGGTCTAATTAGAAATATATATACTAAAAATATTTAATTTATCATTTATCAATATGTCAACAATCTGATAACTAAAAAAATTGAAACACAAATTTCTGACATTATATTGTTGATTAGTAATATTAACAAGAAATAATATCAAATATGCATAATTATAAAAAACGTTTGATATTCCACCCATAACAGCATAATTAAGGGAGGAAACCAAATCCTTTGAAAACATATGCATACTAGAATAAAAAGGAACAAAGAGAACGTTGGATTCCTCATGGCTTTCCTCTTATTAGTCGAACTCCCCACTATTCTTTTCAAGTTTATTCCATTTTTGGTATTCACTTTTTAAGAGTCATCAAAGTCATGACTTTCGCTATTTTGGTTATAATATAACTTAAAACCGCGTTTTCAAACAACAAAAAATGAGTTTTTTTCCTCAATATTGAAAATGTATAGAAACATCACATTTTAATTACTACATTTGATATCAGATTTGGTGGTCACTGGCTGAAGATGGAGGAACTATTTCAACACAACCTATATTTGTAATGCCTTAATGGGTATCCAATGACCAACACAAACTATATTTGTTAAAGGGCTATAATACAAATGTTTTTGATGACTTTAGATAAAAGAAAATGGTATGAAGATACTCCTCATTTTATTCACAAATTAGTAAGTTTCTTAAAAACATTAATTACTGTTAACCCCGAGTTTTAAGACAACATCATTACAGGATTTCGAAAGAAATGACATGGGAACCAGGATCAATGAGCTCGAGCAAAGCATCGAGAAGCTTAGGTGGGTGTAGAAGGCACTCCACCTCCTGGTAAAAAAGGATCCACACACAACATGTTAATGATCTAATTGGTTATGGACAGCATCTGCAAAAGAAAACTATGAAAGTCTTACTTAAACATGAGTTGATGTTTGGTTAGCTTAAATTTTAAAGGATTGGTATAGTGCTTGTATAAACTGCCTTCTTATGACCATGCCTTCTCCAAGGATGTTTTGATGGGCTAAAACCCGACTACGGTAGTTTTCTTATGGGCCATGCTGAGACTGATTTCATACGTCCTTAACTCGGCCCATATGTGACAAATTCTGCTAAGCTCAAGCCGGTTAAACAAATCCATCATCTTTTAGAATATCAACGGACACGATTGGACCAAAAATCTAAAAGAGAGCAAAATCATCATGGTTTACTTTTTGAGCCGGTTATGTATGTATAACTAACATTGGCCCGGTCTAAGTTGGTCCGAGTCAATCCCTAGAGAGAGAGCTCAAAGAAGTCTAGTGATCCCAAAAGTTGTTATTGCTTGACAGATACTCTCCATTGGAGATTTGGAATCCCGTCGAGTCACATTTTAACATAAATACATAATCCAATGGATTATGAACAGATTGTAGGTAAAGGAACTCATGTTTTTAATATCCAAATATGTAATAGCTGATGATCCCAAAAAAAAATCAATGCCAGCTACTAAATTTTGATTTAACCATTTGAATCTGCCCAAAAATAAAATAAAAAATGCTAATTGTATAGAGAATTTGTATGAGGAGGATATGAGAAAGCTAAGTCCGCGTGACAAGGATGCGGAAGATGTAGTTGTCGTTTCTTGTTTTGTATGCACACGATAGAGACTTTAATATAGTATTATTTTTTATTTAAGTTTCATTATTGGATCGATATTTTTACATAATAATTCAAATGTATATATATAACACAGTCGATGATGAATTTGTTTGCCTCTGGGCTGTCCATGAGAAAATGTGGTCCATACTTTGGTTATTATCTTTTTGTATTGTATTATATTTACGTTAAAATGTGACAAGAGGAACTATAAGGTCCGTTCGATTTTTGGAGTGCAATAAATTAAAAAGTATCTCTAATTGAATTGTTGTTGCGATATTCAATGTTTCAAATGGGTCCTTAACCATCTGTTTCTCTTTTTCTAATTAATGTTCTTTGACAATTTTTCCTCCAACGATTTTTTTTAGTAATGGTCAATTTTCGTTACTCACGAAGAGCTTATGTGTTTGGTTTATAGGTTAGAGTTCTCGTGACAACAAATTTCATTTAGAAACTCCATATATTTTGTACTTGAAACTGTAACAAATTGAGTACATTTCTTTCTAGGGAAATTGCATGCTATAACCAAGAAAAAAACTTTAATATGAATTCTAACCATTTAACATAAATCTAAGAGTTGATCTTTAACCATGCATACTAATTTTGTTATCTTTTTAGTTATTGTTTTTTAGGTTATTCTTGCAATTGACCATTTCTAAGGAAATGTGTGTTCACATAAAAAATATTGGTATAAATTAATTTTAGAGATTATCCTCCACGTGTGGCTCTACCGAAAGAGATATAAGTGAAGCTGGCTTTAGTTGGCTCCCAACCAAATCTTATTGTCGCAACTTTAGTTTCATCTATAATTATATTATGTTATATAGTTAGCGATCATATATATAGTTCTCCATATGGAAACTTATAGAATTCCTCATTTTATTTTTTTATAGCTTATGGTATTTCTCCGGCACATGCATGATATACAACAAATGAATACGAATAAATCCATATAATACATTATATTAATATATACACCTTCATAACAATATTCCACTTAATTCACCAAAAAAAAACCAATATTCCACTTAAATACAATATTTAGCTCAAGACATTCACTCTAAATGTCTAATTTATTCCACATTTTGTTTCTTCCTGGTTTATGTAACAAACCTATATCAACAACAGAGATAATTCCCAGAAAAATTATATATGAGTGATGAAATTATAATTCAATGAACCGGCAAATAAAAATGAAAATTCTGAAAAATTATATATATATAAGAAGAAAAAAAGACAAAGAATTTTAAGGAAATTACAGTTACAGAATATCTTTTAGCGCCGACAACGAGTGATGGCACTGCAGCCACGAGAGTAAGGGTTTGCCTGAGCGCCACGTCGGCAATTGTAGTAAGATGCGCCGCGTCGCGAACACGGAATTGTGTTTCTCCTCAGCGCACCGTAGCTGATGTACCTCCGTGTGGCTAATATGCGCCGGTTTATCTCCGAGTCCATCTCGAACTCACCACCTCCCATTTCTACGTCGGCGGAAACAGAGCACTCGGCGATTGTTCCACGGCACTCTGTCTCGAACGGAGGAAAATCTCCGGCGAACTCGACGGAGTGAGAAGATACGGACAAGTACTGAACGGCGAGGATTAGAAAGATGGCGAAAATCGCCGCCGCGCCGGAGTTTATGGAGAATCCTCTCATTATTTGTGTTGATGTT